TGTGAAGTGTTACCTTTGTTAGTTTTGTTTTCATACATCTTACAGTTCTAGAAGAAAGCTTTAGTAAGTTCTTCCATTAGTAAAGCATCTCTTAGAAAGTAAGATGAGAAACTAAGATATCTGATTAAGCAATGAAGTGACATTTCTGCAAAACATCCTTTTTTTAAGATTAAGAGCTTAATCTGATAAAGTGGCTCTGTTTCAGGGAATCAGTTGAAAGTATCGCACCGAATTTCTTTTGTTACAATAAAGCCAAAATGAGATAAATATTAGCTTCTGATTTAGCAGAGGAGTCACAGTGATAAGTCATATGGAAAGATCACTAGATACTGAGACAAGAGGTTCTCCATCCACAGTAGTCTCTTACTTAGAAAAAAAAAGTAAGTGCAGTGTAGTGCTTTGTTCCAGTGCAATTGCAACAAAAAGTGTAAGACTGTAGCGTTCTGGAAACTTCATTTGGTGATGTTGGTTGATGCTTTCTGCGGTGAGCCCAGTGATGGGGAGAGCATGGGAAGTCTTTAAACCGGTCAACGTCTTACCTAACGTGTATCTGTGCTTCTGTATCTGAATCCTAACACTTAAGTATTGCTGTATTGTGAATTTTAACCTCCATACACTCCAACAGGAGAGTTTATTTTGTGCTAGTAACAGAAGGCCTTTAGTAGTGGAAGGGAGTTGCTTCTCTTCTTTTGGTGCTCACCTTCCCAAAATGCTAGTTAGAGGGAAATGGTGAACTGGAACTTCCTTTGAGGTTAAGAGACTGCTGGGATGTGTTGTTGGAGTCACCTTAGTTAGCTTCAAGACATACACTTAAATCAATTTGCAGGTCATCAATACCTTAAGGTAGCTACTCATTCACATAAGAAAACATTTATCTAGGACAATGTGAAAAAGCCAATGCAGGAAGGGTTGGGTTTTGCAGGCAATGAGTACAATCCATAACCTGTTGTCAGACCTGGTGGAACAGGCAGACTTGTTTCCCATTGATGGAAGTATTGAAACCGGTGCTCTTGTCTTGATAAAATAATCCTAAACTATGAATTGCTATCAAGTGAATTGTGCTGGAATTACTCCAATAATAAACCTACTGTCAAAATACGTATTTTTTTAAATTGGACCATGCTTTAATTACTCAAGACAAATACAACTTTTGTGTTCTAATCTCTCAGATACGGAGGACTGCAAAATGCCCAACATAAGAGAGCTACTGATGTGCTCTACAGATCCTGATTGCTTTGCTGGACTTGCATGCCCTGGAGAAGCTGTCTGGGCTCTCTAAAATATCGGGGGGGGGGGGGAGGGGGGAAGACAACACGCAGAGGTTCAGTGCTACATGCAGTGTTCGTAAGCCTGGCTGGCCTCTGTGGAAGATGAAGCAGTGGAGGGGCAGGTGACATACACCTGTTCTTCCTCAGTGACTTTCAAGAGAATCTTTCCCAGCTGGCTCTTCCTTGTGTTCTACCCAGGCCCTTGTGTTGGCTCCTAACAGGGCCTGATGGGCATTGAAACTGAGTTCTTAGAGGAAAGAATTAAAAGAAATAAAGTATTTTCTACAAGCATATAAAGAGTGAAATTTTTAGCTCTTACGATTGCAGCATATTAAGTATTCTTCATTTGTAAGACACTAGTGTCAAAATACCCAAATTAGTAACTTACTTCAAAGAGCTCTTTAACACTACTTATCTTTAACTGTGGTCCTCTATTTTTTGGTTTTTGGAAATTCTAGCAAAAATGAATTGTCATAGTAATGAAAATAATATGGGAAGGAGTTACTTTTTTTTAAGTTGAGTCATAGCTCAGACTTAAATTTGTAGTACTCAATTTGGTAAATTTTTGGGCGATTAGGAGAAATGTTGAGTCCTCTTCTATGTGTATTTACCTACTGCTGTCTAGACTGTACTGATTTCAGAGGCTTCGAAACTCTTGGCAGCTGACTTTTTTTTTCCTCCCTGAACTGTCTCAAAACAGTAATTAAAGCTCTTCCTTCCATAATGGGTTCCCCCCAAATACCTAAAAAATTGCATAGTCCTGCTGTTCACCTGATTATTGTTTCGCTCTTTAACCTCAGAACAAATGAAGAGTAGGAACTTCGCTCTTCCATGAGACAAGTGGAGCTTGAAGTGGGGTGGAGGTGTGTTAAAAGGTAGATGTTAGCTGGTCTGTCATTGACATGTTTGCCACTGTGGCTGTGAAATGTACTTCACTCATGGCAAATATGCCCAACTTACCTCTACCTATTAATTCAAGAATGGAGCCTACTAACAATATTCTTCAATTATATGAACCCAATGAAGAAGAATGGAGCGTTCAAGCTGTAATATAGCATTAACTGTTTCTCGCAGTATGTTCACAAAGCCTTCTGCTCATTATTAGCCATGATGACTTCGAACATCAGCTTCCAATCTTGTTATTGGGCAAGCTTTTTAGACAAACTTGCTTGTAATTAGGATGTCTGATACAGAAAGTTGCCTCTTGTTTCAGTTGGGGCCTGAGATTTTTAGGTAGACTAAAACTTAATTAGTACAAAGTCATCAAGTTTTAATACAGAGAGCATGTACAATAGCCAGATGCTAAGTACTCCTGCCAGTCTCCTGTACGGGGGGGGGTGGTGGTGGTTGGTTGCTTGCAGGAGATACTAAAAAGACTTCCTTGAATGTATGAGTCTTCTAATACTTGGCTATGCAGGAAAGGAAATACCCTTAGTGGTAAAAGATAGTATTGTTATCAAAAGCTGTAATGGCCTGAAGGACTAGTGATACTTAAGCAAAGCTTATCTGTGGGGATAAGCCTACTTTAATATTTGCTCTGTTAGATAGTAAAGATATCCTTTCTATTAGTTCAGCCGGTGTCTAAAGCCATGGTGTTGTAACTCTGTGGATAGAGAGTTATGTGGGTTTTAAAAGTATAAATCTGGTTTCTGTGGAAGACTTTTCTGACTTTTGGTCTTGGAATGTGGTTCTCAAACATATGAAATTTGTACCGACTGAGCAGATTTGAATGTCAGTGTTGTGACAAAAGTGCAGTGTTCAGCAGAGCCTTTTCTTTGAGATTTCCAATAGAATATCAAGTACTGTAGTTCAGCAGGTCAATAAAAATATTGTCACGTCAACTTGAATCGTTGTGCCCAGCCATGCCTTCTCTTACATGGCCCAAGTGATGGTGGGTTAGAACTTGTGAAGTCACCTCTAAGTGTCCAACTTTTAAACTGCAGTGTAATAGAACAAATTATGATAGGAAGACTATCTACTGATCAGATAATCCTTGGGGACAGATAGCTAAAACCATAAACTACAGAGATCTTGATTAAAAATTTAGAGTTTTCCTGATGTTTAAGGTTTGCTACTGTGCTGTTAAACTGTTTGTTACAAGTTGGCTGCAGTGTTAGTTTCCTCTACAGTGAAGTGGCATAAGTCAACTTCAGAAAGAGGTAGCATTAGTGCTTTAGTTACATTGAATAGAATGGTCATCATAATTGGCTCTTCTGCTGTCTGCTCTTAGAAAGTTTCTGGGTGTTTTTCTTTGGTCTGTCTTCTCTATCTGTTCTGTTCATCAGACTTTATGGAAAGCTTTTGGAGAAGGTACAATATGTGTGGAGGAGAGACCTCCCCCGGGTCATACAGATGCCAGAGTTGATATTTGGGAAGTAGCTGAGGAGGAGGAGCTGCTCTAGGAGCTGGATGTTGGATGCCTTCAATATAGGCAGCACTCGGAGACACTTTCACAGCAGTTCAGGGTGGTGTAAATTTGGGCTGTTGTGATATTCTGTTCTCCTGCTAGTTGCTTAGGAAGCTAAGCAGCAGTATGGTTCAAGCAGCTGATCCAGCCCGTGGCACTTTCCACATACACATGACTTCTGGTTCAATGCCTAGTCAGTGCTTGTACAGAGAGCTCATGTTGAGCTGCTGCAGTCCAGTCTGGGATGAATGTCTCATAAGATGCCACCGAATATTGGCATCCAAATACAAGCTGAAGCAAAGCTGAAAGGAAAACTGAGGATAATTTAAGGGAAAAGATGGAAGTTAACCCTTGGCAACTGAATTGTCCGATATTGACGTGTTATGCTAGTCTTCAGGGTTGAGGGGAGCAGGTTCCTAATGTTCCTTCAGACACTGTCCTAGCATCTTAAACTTGTCTTAAATTTTATACCCCTTTTTAGCCACTGAATTACATGCTTGGTAACAGAAGTAGTGTTTGAAAACATGGATCATGTAGGCTTGGAGAACAAATATACTTTTGATTCATTGAAATTAGACCAACCTTCCTATAGCTCTGGTCCTGTAAAATGCTTTCATAACCTAATGTAGTAGAATTTTTAGAGCAGCTTGTATACTTATTCTGAGGCTTTTCTTACCCTGCCACTAGGTTTACTTCTGTGTTAGTTGAGAAGCATGTCCCTGAGCTTTCATAAACAGTGTCTTAACCCTCCAAAAAACCAAACCATACCACTGCCCCCCAAAGGCTGCCTGAAACAGATGGGGAGAGTTGTGGGCTCACTTCAGCAAAAAGAGTAAAGCTACAGCCAAGAAAACTTGCAGAATACAGATTCTGAGACTCTTAGCAATAAACTGTTTCATGTTCTAGGAGCTCACTAACAGTGAACTGCTTTGCTAATTCCTACAAATTAAAAATCCTGTTAGACTGGTTCCTACCCAAACTTCACATACTTTGATGAAATGCTTTTGAGTTCGGCTTAGGCTTACCCGTGTTGTGAATTTGGGCTGTTTCCACACAACTCTTTTATTCTTGCCACATCATTCAAAACAACAGCTAAAAGATCTAGTAAATGATTGGCTTAAGCCAAAGTTATTTAGAACAGACTCCTGGCAAACTCTAGTGAAATGAGTAACTGGCTTAGTATTGACTCAGCCTTCTGGCTTAAAGAGTATTTTGATCCAGAAATCTGTCTTTAATTTACTAATAAAAACATCCAAATCAATAAATCTGACTTCAAAGGCGATGTTTGTGTGTAAAACTTAACACTAATCTGTTTTGCTTTCCAGGCATCTTTCCTTACAAAGAAGCTAAACATTGGTGGGAAAAGAGTAAACCTTGCAATATGGGTATGTTTACTTTCCTATTTTCCCTCCTCTGGCTAAAAGAATATTTTCCTGAAAAATTACTTAGATTCACTGGAACACAAATAATGGGTGCTTTTGAATAAAGTAAAATTTCAAAGTATTTAGAGTTTCTTGAAGCATCCCTTGCTGTGTCTGAGGTGCTAACAAGGCTGTTTTACATGCAGGACACGGCTGGCCAGGAAAGGTTTCATGCCCTGGGGCCCATCTACTACAGGGACTCCAATGGCGCGATTCTAGTCTATGACATAACTGATGAAGACTCTTTTCAAAAGGTACTGTACAGATTTTTACCTCTGAGATGTAAACTGATGGAACAGTAATTCATGGTTGGAATGCATAAATGGGAATCTGTTTTCAGCAATAGCAATGTACCTCTGCAAATTTAGATCATACAGTGAAAGTGTGCACCTTATTAATATTCTTTTGAAGGCTCACTTTTTCAATCTGCTGAAGTTCTAGCAGGGTTGTGCAAAGAACACCAGAAAACTAGATGTGTGAGTTACCTGCAACAGGCTATAAATACAAACCAGTCCTGTGATAGTGTGCAGTACTGATCTCCCCTGTATAAACCATATTGCTAAAAGATATTAAAGGTCCTGACCTTTTACAGATATGAGGACACTGAAATTGCAATATATGATAACAAAACATCACTTTATCTGATAATAAATATTTGGACTTTGAATCCTCACTAAAACCTGAAATTTGATGGTTAATTATTTTATAGTAGTACTAGTTAATCAGGCTGAGCAAGTGATTATTTTTCCAATGCTGTTTCAAATCAGTGCTATTACTCCATAGGCTATTCCATCTGAAAACTGGTGACACTTTTCTTGGTGAGATTGTCTCTGATTACCTTGTGGCAAAACCAGTCAGACTTCTGTGCAGAGTAGTTAAGAATTTGTGGTTGCATGGGCAAGGCTTGGGTTAGCAGTGATAGAAGTAGTAAGAGAATATAGTAATTTAAATAGTCTGTAGGACGAGTAGAACACTTGTGTTAGCAGTTAAGCTCTCGCCCCTCATGTGCAGAATCGTGATGACTTGCAGGTACTACTTCAACTTATGCATCTTCATGCTGAGACATACTTAGTAAAATTCTATGGTACCAAACCAGTTAAATTCTCAAGGAAGAGGGAAGCTTAATTTGCAGAAGTTACTGCATAACTACTTCTTTATCATGTATCCTAACTGTTCTTAGGTTCTTGAAGTGATTTCATCTCTTCACAACTTAAATCCCCCTAAAATAGCAGTCCAGTCAATGCAGTGGTCATACAACTTCAAAGCATGACAGCAGCACTGATAGCAGATACCTTACCATCAATTCACTTGACACTCTTGTCCCATCTGTTCTCTCAGGAAACAAACACCTGTTATAATCGAACCTGAACAACTTGGTTCAGGTACCTCTATCTTTAAACTACGATTTGTGATCTGTCAGTAAGTGCCTATTGATCAAAGATCTCATGTAGACCTAAAGCGGCCAATTCAGTGAACTTTTCTTTGGAGTGGGGCTAACATGAGTGTGGTGAGTTGTATTTCTGGAGCAGTTGAACCATTTTCCCTAAGTGATTTGCTCGTAATTTCAACTGCAAACTCAAACCTGCAGAACAAGAGCCATGTGTAGCTATCTAAAGAATATTTTGTCTATTTATGTTGCTCTAGACACGTTTGTTTTATGTTTAGAGTAAAAATTTCATGAAGGAAATGAGTCAGTTCCGCAGTGCCCAAGCTTGTGGTATATCAAGTGAAAATGAAGTTACCAATGTGTTTTTTTCAGGTAAAAAACTGGGTTAAGGAATTAAGAAAAATGCTGGGAAATGAAATTTGTTTATGTATAGTAGGTAAGTCTTTTTTAACATGTGATTATAATGCCTGAATCAGAACTGTATCTTTTGATTAACAGCATCTTCCAAACACCGCTTTGACAGCTTGTACATGTGAATGAGTAAAGCTTATGTTAATTTGGTATTTAAAATTCAGTTGGAGCTAGAAGTTTCAGTAGTTCACATTGAAGAGAACAAGTTAGTTTCAAAAAACAAGTTGTATGTCATGCACTTCTGATGTGGTGTATCATTACAGACACCCGCAGGCCGTAGTTAAACGAAGAGAAACAAACCTCAAATGTGTATTATCCTTCTCACAACTGTCAGCCATGTTTTTTACTGTTCTTAGTAGCACAGACTGGGTGCTTGTCTGTTTTCATACTTGGGTGCTTGGGATGTGGAATAAGTCTGAAAACTTGGATCTTTCAATATAAACAGAATGCAACAGAATTACTTGGTTTAGATTTAAAATTCAGTCTAATGAATAAAACCCTTTCAGAAGGGTAGATACATGGATATCCTACAAGAACTACCTCTGCAGCACAGATAAGCTGCTAATCATAAAGAGGGGAGGGCTCATTCGGTGACTTACATGGGGGTGTGTAGCTATCCTGATCTCTCTACAGAAGTAGACCTTCATCTTCACAATCTGTAAATGCTCGAGTGAAAGGGGATTCTTAAATCACGTTGTGCTCCAAACTGAGACCTGTGTAAGAGTTGATCTTTACTGGGACAGCTTCTAAGAAAATTATGGGGTACAATGATGACAGCTGCTTTGTTTTGGGTAATTTTGAAGCACAAAGACATGAAAGATTAATTTGTTTTCAACAGGTAACAAAATAGACTTGGAAAAAGAGAGACATGTTTCAGTGCAAGAAGCAGAAACGTAAGTCACAGCAGTTTATTAATAGAAACAGCCCTTGCAGAATTATGCTGGAGCAATAAACCTGTGATGCTGTTAACAGCTGGCTGGCATAAGCCAGCAGTGCCTAGCTGGCTGTGGCATTAAGTGTTCTGTTAGTATCCGAGTCCTGGGATTTCCTTACTGACCCAAGTGTAACTTCAGAGTTGTACATGATTAAAGTCAGTATTTGCAGTTTAAATACATTTCTAGATATGATATTTTCTTTGTTTTATCTAGTGTTTTTTGTCAGTTATGGCAGTTTTAACTACGTGATTCTTTTTTACATTTAATTAGCGTATGTAGATTAGCTCTGAACTTGGAATGAAACTCCTTATGATCATCTTTTTGCTTCATGTGAAGTGGCTTAGAAAGATTGAGTCTTCTAGTACAACTGAGTTCTATATCTGCATTCCTACAGGTATGCCGAGTCTGTTGGAGCAAAACATTATCATACTTCAGCTAAACAGAACAAAGGAATTGAAGAACTGTTTCTTGACCTTTGTAAAAGTAGGTATTACCTAGTTTGTTGTTAAAGAGCTCATTCACAAAATGCTCAAGGCTTCAGAATGCTTAAAACCGTATAGAAAAGCCCTCATGTAAATTATTACAAGGAACCGACTTCATCCGAGTCTGCTTCATGCCACTTGTGTACTGTGGCAGCTACGGATGCCTGCTGTATGGATGCTGTTGATATTGCAAATTCTTGCTGTACTCAAAAATCTGATTTGTTGGGGCACTGACTGCTCAGCATGCTTAAGTAGTAGCTTCAAATCAAACTTCATTTGACTGGTCTCACTATTGCCTGCATTGAACCCTCTGTTTCAACCTCTTTAAATTAAAATCTTCTCAAATTATGTCGATTACAGATCATAAACTCAAAGTTGTAATCATGAAAACTTAGCAGTCTAAGCAAATGGTAAAGATCATGGATTGTGGGTTAAAAACATTGTGATACTGGGAAGTTGTCCTATTCATTGTGTTCTTATGATACAAGAATTTAAGCAAAACTTTGCCTGCATGTCTGGAGAGTAGGTTGGGGTTTGGCAGGCAGTGGTATGTGTGGGGCGTGTAGGTTTTTTTTTTTAACGGAATGTTCTTGATATGGGTCAGTAGATGTAACTTTTGAAGTCACTAACTCCAGAACATTTGAGCATCTAAAGTCTCCCTTAGCCAACAGGCGGCTGCTTTGGGAAGAAGATTTAAGTCTGTTCTTGCAGTACTTACTCCTGCATAATAAGTAGGAGATCCAATCTTGCTGAACTTTGTGCGTGTAACTCAAAGATTAAGATCTTAGTCTTGTGTGGGGGGGAAAAAAATATGCGTCGGAATGTTACGTAATGCCTTTCTTCCTTCACAGGAATGATAGACACTGCTCAGGTGGACGAACGAGCGCGAGGGAATGGCTCCAGCCAGTCGGGAGCGGCGAGGCGAGGCGTGCAGATCATCGATGAGCAGCGGCGGGTGCTGCTCCTCCGGGTAGCTATAGGACTGTGCAGCGCTGCCCTCGCCAGATGGAGACTGCCATATTCCCAGTCACGCGTTCTTTACCAGTGGAGTAATAGAATTAACAGTATTTAAAAATAATCACATGTAACACTGCAGAGACCTTAAGTGCTAAACTAGTGGCGTCTGTGACCAGAGAATTGGCATTTTCTACAGTGGTTAACAAAGCAATTACCAATGGCCTTTTTACATATTTTTCTTTAATGAGGAATAATATGCATGTAGAAAAGACCTACTTAAAGGCTTCATTTATATTCTTTTAAATCAGATCATTATTTAATAACTTATATACATTGTTGTTGGAATGGTATACGTTTTTGCAGCTCTTTGTATTTTGTGGTAGATTGAACTGTATCACTTCTAAAATGCAAATTGATTTTTTTTTTTTAAATTAGCAGATATCTGAAGTAATATTTTTGCAGGGCCTCCACAAGCCTATAACTGTCAACTACTTTGATATATTCTGTTCATCCTGTATGCCAAGCTGGTAAAATACATTGTAAATTACATATTAAATATTTTATCTGCTTTTACAATTGCAGGTGCAGAAATATGTACATCAGTCTTGTCAGTGATTGTGAAGTGAATAAGTCAGTGAAAGTTGCAAGCTTTTCATGTGTACTGTTGAATTACTCACTCTATTCCCCCTACCTGAAAACAGCTTTTTTGAAACATTCATACTTGCAGCATTTTTTTTTTTAAGCCTCTTCAGGCAAGGAGCAGTATTTAGAGTATCCCTTTAGCAGGAAGAGAATGCTTCCTTAGACTGCTGTTTAACATTGAGGTGTTTGACTCTCAGCTAAAACAGCTGGCGCGTGCCTATGTCTCGCCTCTGTGGTTACTTTGGCCTCCTGAGAGATCCCCAGAAAGTCAAAGCAACGTTAGCCCTCATCTGTATGGTAGCCAGTAAACTAGATGCGTGGGAAACTCTTAAGCTGCATTAATACATCTGTGTCCCAAGACAGCATTATAAACTATTAATGAGCATAATTTTTTTCCCCCTCTGTACTGCAGGACCTGAGTGAACAAACAAATTGGTATTAACTAGAACTTCTGATATGGAGTGATTAAATGGAAGATATGCCAGATGTAATTGTAACTTTGAGGTGTACTAGACAGAACAAATTATTCCCAACTTGCTCTTTCTTTTGTGAAGTGTTTTGAAACCCAATTAAGCTTTGAGAGGAGGGTTTTCAGAAAGGCCAAAAAAAAAAAGTGTAAACTACTATCACGGAGGAACACAAATGGTGGTAGCCAAAACTTCAAAATGTTTTGTGCTCTGACTTTTTACTTAAGTTGTCATGCTTGGAAAAACAGTAAAGGTGATGTCTATGACAGAATATTCCTTGGCCTTCCTTTTTCTGAAGAGTAGAATTAGTATTGCATATGAATGCATTGAATGGTGTGGGTATGTTCTGATGCACAAAAGGACTAGTAGTAACTAATCGGTCTGATGTGTAAGAGAAGTGTACTGTCTTCAGCCTGACTTCTATTTTCTCTGAAATAATAGATGGCTTTGATACAGACTGGTCCTGGTGCATTTTTTCCCTGGTCTGCTTAAACTGTGGGATAGATACTTAAGCTGCCGTTGCCATGCTCTTCTGGCGTGATGGTGTGCGTGATAGACAAAGGTGATCTGTTTATGCTAGTGAAGATAGTTTCATGACTGCACAGACCTTTGGTGTGAATCTAAAGTTAATGATTGTGTGTATATGAAGCAATACTATTCAGTTAACATTCTCCTACTATGTCTAGCTTTGTGAGCATTGCCAAAGTTGAAAACAAAGGTCAGTTTGACCTAAACCAGTACCTTCAAATCTATAGTTAGATGAAAGTCAGTGCTGTAAGTGATGCCATATTGATATGAGAAGGGAAATTGGTAAGACTCTGTTCAACTGGAATTTCCTCATAATCAAAAAATAAGGGAATCTTATTCAGATTTCAGTTTTTGCAGAGATGGAAAAAACCCCAACCAAACAACCCAACCTTAACTAAGCAGATGAGACGTGAGGGCTCACCTGCACCAGAGCACACGTGCTCGCTTCTGAGCAGAGCTTCCCCCACTTGGCTGAAGTGGACAGATGTGGTTCTGGTCTAGAAAATAATACTAGGTGTTTGCCCAAGAGAATGTTATGTTTGAGCACTTTGAAGTAGAAACAGTGTGTAGAACCTCTCTTCCTCCTGTTAGAGTTTCTTTAGTGTGTTCTGATAGGGGCAGTCTATATGACTTCCGTCAATTGGAAAACTAAAAAAGTCATGTCGATACTAACTCTTAAGTCTTACAAAACTAAAACTGTTACTACTGAGAACTTAGGTGGGGTAAAGGAAGCTCACAATTTTGTATGATTAAAAAAGTTCTGGTTGCTATTAGCAAAATTTTCTTTTAAAAGAAATTTTTCAGAAGTTACTTTTCTTGCTTGAGCTATGGCATGAAAATTTCTCTCTGGAAACCTTAAGTTGCTGTTTTGTTGATGTATGGAACTTAAAACCTGTGCTTATCAGGGTATCATATTGCCTTACAAAAGAAGTATAGCTTCATGAAGGCAAAGCAGTTGGTTTCCAAGACAAGTAAAAATATGGATTGTTTAGACTGATTAACATAAGACTTCAGCTATTAATTGTTAGCAGAAAAAAAATAACAGTCACAGGAAAAAGCATCTTTATTGAAGATATCTAGAGCGTTCTTTGCATTAAATATGTTGGAAAGCACAGGTAAGTTGGTTTTCTGTATTTGAGCAGAATCTTGCTAAAGTAACCTGATATTAGTGCTGTGTAGCTTGGTTTTCAAGATTGTCTGTGTATTGCTGGAATCTATCTACATTGCCAGGTTTGTATTTCTCAAGGAAGACTGCTGTCTTGTTAACTTCTGGTGCTGAAACAAGCTATTTTTTCATTCTTCTGAGGAGAGTGTGAGGGAACGGCTATGTCTGTCTTTAGAAAGTACCTGTATTCTGGGATAGGTAGAACCAGTCAGACACTTGCAGGTTAAGTCAACATTGATCACATTTTCTTAGAATTGATGTTGACAACGGTTGCACATACTGTAATAAAAGAGTCTTAACTTACTTTGAATAACTTTCTAAAATAAGTTCAAGTACTTGCTTGCAATCTTGCTACTGCTATGTTTATAACTGTAGGGAGGAGTTGTGTCCATTAATACTCCAACAGACAGTTTGGAGCTTTAACTGTATTTATTCAATACCAGAATGCTGAAAGATGGACTCTGAAAAATAGTTTCCATTTCTACTGCTTTGCACAGTTGGATAAGCAGCATGACCTAATGCAGCTGCAGAGTGAATGTGAAGAGGGCTTCTATCCCGCTCCTCCTGCTTGTTGGCTGCACTGATCCTTGTTGTTCATGAATTGCTACCACGGGAAGCCTTCCATGCTGGAGATCCTCCTGCACAAGAAAGGAAACACATGTTCTCCACATGCTTCTCTAGCTCTTCTAGACTGTGATAGGTACTACACTAGTAATACCCAGATTCTCTCAGTCAAAGAACATTTGCTACTTCTTAAGACCAGCTTTTCTTATTTCTTGACAAGTCTTTTTTTGTGTATCTAGTCTCACTTATCTTTTACAAGGGGCTTTAATAATTCACTCTAGGTCACCCAGAAGCACTGTAATGTGCATGTATGACATTAAAGTACAATGAGTAGCAGTATTGAAAGTTTTCCCCAGCAATAGGTCATATCCTGCCTACAAACCAGCAGAGAAACAATATTGGAAGCTTAATGGTGAGTCCTTGCTACCTTTGGCATCTGGCTCCTGATTCTTGGATATTGGAAGTGACTTGGAAGAAAACCAAGTTAAGAGGATTGGAGAGAGTGAGGACTACTTTCTCATCTGTTGTTAAGTAGATGTACTGTGACACTTTCAAACTCATCGAAAAAATCTCTTTTAAGCTGCTGAATCTTAAATTGCAGACCCTTCAAGTTAACTGAAAGGTCAGCGAATTTGGGAATCACAGTGGAAGAGAACATGTAGTCTCTTTCAAGAACAGGAAACCTCCACTGCATCATTAGTCCTTACTTGGTGGAAAGAGAAGGGGAAAGCATTTGATAACTAAACCTTTAAGTGCTGTCAGTGCAATTTGATCATACTGGCATTATAGTGATGGTCTTACTGGATTTTTCTTACCAGATAAGGTCATTGAACTTATCAGGCTCAATCAAAATATTATTTGAGGCCAGAGAAAAAAGTTAGGGCGAAAACCAACACTGGAGAGGACACAGCATTTGTAATACCAGGTAACTTGACAGTGTCAGATTTTGTAGGAATATTGTTTGGCACTTGTGGATTTAAAAAAAAAAAATAAACTCCATTATCTAGCAGAGCCTTCAAAAACCTTAATTTTCCCAGTGCATTGCATTTACATGAAGACTGTTGTGATAATTGCAAATGTTCAGTCAGCTGGGGAAACAAGAACTTCTTTCATGTCACTGCTATTCTATCAGTTCCTAACATTAAAAGTGAAAATGCACAGAAATTAGAATGGATCAATAGAAAGGGGGTGGGGAAAGTATACTGAAAGCCAAGACAAGAAACCAGGTGGAAATTCTTGTTACTGTCATATCTGAAAAATCTCTTAAATTTTAATAACTCGCAGAATTTGAAACTTGATGACCAGTCTAGAGGCCCTGAAAATTACTGGAAGTTGAGGGCAGTGGCCTGGCTTACAAAGATTTGGTAAAAAACAGACCACAGGTTTTTTGTTACAGTAACAAATTTCTGAACCCATCTGAGTATGATGTGATGAAAGAGATGGTTTTAACATGCCAAACCAGGCTCAGTGAGGCTGCTCTACATGATGCTAGCATATACTGCAGGGGACCATCAAATTGCAGCTTTAATTCTCAAAACTGGTCTTTGGCAGCCAGGAACGCTTCATGAGGAGGCAGCAGTTGCTGTTGAACCACGTTTGCCAGGTTAATGATCGCCCCAGGCACACTGTCTGTATACTGATGGACCAGCAAAACCAAGGCTAGGAATTTTCCACAAATTGTGTTTGTATCCCACTGCTGTCCTACCTCCATGATGAATGTTTGTGCACACTTCCCCAGTGAAAACTGCTGTTCAGCTGATGCTGTGGATTTGAGCTAGAGGGATGTTGTGAGTGAAAACAGCAAGCAACAGGAAAAGCAGGGCAAGGTAAGAGGAGCTTGCACCATTCGTGCTTGGGCTGCTCTCGGCCGTTTCACTTTCTTATAATGTCAGGAGTTATCTTATTATCTTTGTGTCACAAAGTGTATTTTCTATTTGAGTTTGGTTTTTTTTTCAGGAAACTAAAACCTTGAGGGCTTTCTTGAGTAAATGAAAATTTACTGAAGTCTGTCAGCATCTCATTAAAAGGGCTGTATTAAATGTGGAAGAGCAAGTGTGGTGCCTGGAGTTACACCCTGCAGTTGGAGTCCTGTGGTGAATGTTTCAGATAGCAAGAGGCAGCAATGCACCTCTGGTTGCCAGGCTGCTCTCCAAGTGTTTTGTGACAGTGTAATTGCAAAACAATCCTCAACCATAAGATCTGTCCATGCTGGTTATAGAAGTTGGTTTGAGGCTTAAAATGACACTAAATTGAATTTTGATTGGACCATTCAAGGAATCTTGACCATCTTTTCAGTACGTGGATACTGCAGTGCTTGGCACCACGAGACACTGATTCTTTTTCAGGGACTTGGGGATTTCAGCTTGTATGTGGAATGGAGCAATCTCTGAAGTGAATGATGGTGGCAAATTAAGAGAAGGAAGGAAGTATTGTGTAAGTAACACAGACTTACCCTTAGCATTGCTTTGTGAATGGCTTGGATGAAATGCAGCATTGACTACCCCCACCCTAAAATAACTGTTCCGTTAAGTTTCCTGTTCTTTCCAGGAAATATTGCCTGTTTGTGATGTCATAACACACATGTGGAAGTGTTAGAAGACAAATGTCTTTGCTTTCTGCATTCCTAGCTATGGTAATCCTAGTTCATGCCAATCGGCAAACAA